GGTAAATGTTCAGTGTCCAGTAGCTTGTGCAAATTATAGGTCTTATTTTCATAATATAAAAGTATCTCCTGTTGTTCCATGCTCCAGACTCAGGAAACCTATTTAAATTGTATACAACAAAGGAGTCAATAGTCACCTAGACCATGTTAATGAGCTAGAATACAAGCCTGCAAAAATCACATAAAAGTAGTTCATTTACTAATTGACTGCGTATCAAGGAAAGTAAACTGAACATTCAATAAGCGAAGCAGCTATAGTGGTAAATGTTCAGTGTCCAGTAGCTCCTTAGATACTAATGAAGTAAAGGTAAAAAAGTAACTAGACCAATTGCATTAAAATCTGTTCGTAATAAAAAATCTACTGATCCAACCAATAGTTTTTGCAACAATGAATAATATAGTATTGAAGTAGGAAATAATATAAAAACTTCTGAAGAGGGGAAAAATAGATGAAGTACTCTTGAATCTTGTGAACAACAGGACTGTCGCTTGTCTCCCACCTCTCTCGCATGTCCTCCGCTAACTGTCAGCATAAAATAATCATTCTGAATATTGTAACAATTTTAGAGTTCACTGGAAGGCCAAAAGTTCATAGAACAATCTTAGTGGAGGGGCATAAAAAAGACCTACCTCTTGTCCCATTGTTACAACTGGTTGGCTGTAGCCACTAACGTGCTTAAAAATAGGATGGTCATGCATCTGAAAAGACCAATGGATTTTCAGTAATTGATATTGATAAATGTAGCTTTTTAAAAACAGATGATCACCAATAAATAAAAGGAAAATTTCTCAAACATGTCCCTCTATTTACCTTCTTCTTAAATGCCTCCCATTTCTCACCTAAAATTGATTTTTTTGTAGGAACAACAACAATATCAGTTCTTGTGCTTCTTGGTTCAGATGAAACAGAAGCAGAAGCATACTGCATGCGCTTTTTCCTGGTTTGGTTAGAGCTCAGCTCATCTTTTACTATTTCATATCCTTTCCTAGCTAAGTTTGTGATCTTTGCTTCCGTCAATTTCCGAAATGCTTGGGAGACTGTAGGAGAAGTTGATGAAACTGTGGACTTGAACTTGCCAAACAGTGTTTCTGTTTCTCCAGATGATTCTTCGTTACTGTTAGCTTTAAAATTTTGAAATTTCTCTGCTTCTGATGTTGGTGTGCTTCCATCATTTGGACTGGAAGTGCTTGATGAATTGGACGTTGTAGACGGCTCCTGCTTTCCAAGTCCGAGCGTGTCTTTGACCTAAAACAAGAGAACAGCAGAGAACAAACAATTAAGCTAGCAGAAAACTAAATTCTATGACACTTGTATAAACCTGACTTAGATCATTGAGCATCAGTTATAGATATTAATCATGATTTTTCCTATTATTAAAATTTTATTAATTAATTTTAAAAAACCAAGCCATTAGTTGGAACAAGATTGTACTAATGTTATATATAAAAGTTGACTGATTTCACAAAATTTTCAGTTATTAGTCATTACCTACATTTTTTTCATTAATATTTTATTTTATCCAAAATTTACAAAAAGATATTTCTATTGTTAATGCACCCAAAGCATATGGCATGTTGCATAGGCATTTATTTCTAGACATTAATGAAATTAAAGTACAGGAAACGAATACAATTACCTCTTCTTTAGCAGCTGATAACTGCTCTCTCACATTTTCAGAGACCTGTAAATATAGAATAAAATAAATACTTCAAAATATGAATAACAATGAAGAGCATATGACAAGATTAGAATAATAATGTTCAAACACAGGATATCTCCACAGACCAAAGCTTGTAGCACAAAGCCATAAGATTCGTTTTTTACAAGTTCTGTTATGTCTTAATCAGAATCTTAAAGAGAAGCAATGTGGTGTTGGATGAAACCGAATTAGTGCAGCACTTGTGCGAAAAAAAAAAGAACATCTCTGCAAGAGACCAAACAGAAAATAGTGCAAATAAAAAATCAGTATGATCAACAAAAAAAAAAGCACTCAATGAATCACCACAAATGACTAGCATCTAGAAGCCCAAGATATCTAATATCAATAAATGAATTGGTGACAAAAATGATTGATTTTGAAGACTTCATCTTTACAGAAGGCACTTCAATTTGGGTTCCAGTAGATACGTTTGTGTCAAAAGAGAAGGGTGCAGAAAGGTACACCATGCTTCTAAGGGTCAGAAATCCACCACTCTACCTCAAGTCAACTCCTATTCCAGGCAACTGCAGGTACAACTTTTAGCCACATGCCTTAAAAATTAGTATCATATATATGATGAGAAAAATATGTCAGATGTATATAGAAGACATGAAAAGAACAAAAAATCGACAGGCACTGTCTCCTATAATCCTGGAGCGAATTTGCAACAGCTATCAATAATATTATATAACATTTCAAATTTACAAACTATACATGTAGAGACAGTGAGTGCATAAGATAGTAGCAAAATGATATTAGATAACACTGCAACCAACCTTCTTTGATACTGTTTCAGCTTCTGTCCAAACATCATCAACTGTCCTATATAACTTCTCTGTGGTTTTCTGTGTTCTGCATTAGAAAGAATATCTTCTAATCAGCACCTTAAAAACAGCTGTGGTCCTTGATATACAAGGTTACATCTTAACATACAACTAGAGTAGTAAAAATGACAACAGATAAATTAGAGCTCTTCCTGCAAAATTACCTTACTTTGATATCTTCCTTTACCACTCCAATTTTCTCATTTAGGTCCTTCATTGATTGTTGGAATTCTGTATTACTGTCATCAACACCAAGAAGTACAACTTAGAGTAAGCACATAATAGGTTTAAACTTCTAAATAACAAGCTTCTACATGACAAAGGATAAAAATAGGACCATCATGTGTTCGTTGAAATATGCATAACACATTGATTTATTCAGATAAGTTGAACATAACAACTCATATAATGAATTGATAGCAAACATAAGAGTTATACTAAGGAATGCTTTTCTAGTTGTCCCAATTGGATAACATGTTAAAAAACATGTCAACATAGAAACTCAATGTGTCTCCCATTATACATAGGGAGAGAGAAACGGCACAAAAATTGCAAGCTGGCTGCAAGAATGGCTCATGTTGAGTCATTTAATGTGGCATGTTTGGTAGTTGGCAAGGACTGGCATACCTCCAGAATTTTAAAATCCAGATAAAAACACAAAAAGTCCTGAAATCAAGCCAAAAGAACTACCTGCAGGTTGTAGCAACATAGGTGTTTTCCTTGATCCCACTTACTTTCCGGTGGGAGACATTGGAAGGAATTGGCAGTGTGGCAATTACCCTTTGCTCTTCAACAATGTCTGAAGCACTAGACTTTACAAAACATGTGCTAGAAGTATAAATTTGTGGCGTTATATTGGCCAGTAAACAAAATCTGGTCGATTTCTACGTAGTATGGTCAATTTGGAATAACAAAGTATGTAAGTTAGTGTAACCCTGACATGGTGTCAAAATGTCCCAATCTGTATCTTGAGTCTTGACAACGTGTCAGCATGAAATGTCTTTGCTGGTACATGCAGAACATCTCAATACGTGAATGCTTGTTCTAGAAAACCCCTAGAAATTCCAATACAATATAAAGACTAACTGGGGTAAGGGAAAACTCCTTGGAAAAACAAAGAAAAATCATAATAGCAACCCTGATAAATTGAATATGATCGATGGGAAGTGATGAGAATTGCTCGATGTACTAATTTCAGCAGTTCAAAAGCTTCAATAAAAAAATTCAATCAAATATATCTCCGATGTCCTCATTGAAAAAAATGAGGCGTCTAAAGAGTTCCATCTAATTTCTTGTGTATAAAGATTTGTTCATAACAAGATACGAGGCATCAAAATATTTATGTACTAAGCATATACATAGTCTATCAAAAATTAATAAGACAAAAAAGGACCAAAAGTAGTTGAAATCTAGTATGAGCTGTAAGGATGCCAAAACCTACACCATCACACTGCCAACTAAGTAGACATAATAAGCAAATCGACTATTATCAGCAAGCCGGCAAACCTTTTTTCTGCATCTTGGCTCCTTTTTCTTCAACTTGAAGACAGGCAGCTAATGAACTATAGTTTATGTCAGTTCAAGATAATCCAGCTTTGGATTTACATCTGTTTCTGTCCAATTTTGTAATAGTTTTGAGCACGATATACATGCAATTTAAGAATCCTTTTATTAGTTGGTTGATGGTCACAGTTGTAGTAGGAAAGAGTAGCCAGCTATATCCCAAATGAATTTATTACTTGAGCTTTAAAACAGACAGGCATGTAGTTTCTTTAAGAACCCTACTTAGAATTAAGTATCGGGCAGTTATCACTTACCCAAAATAGGATCTCACTGGTTGTCAACACAGCAGTATTCGGATTGACAATAAAGCTGGCTACTGAAGATACAAGGAAAGGAAGTATTCCAATATGTGAAGGATTCAGATATGCAACCTAGGAAACATAAAGATGTTCATTTATTTTAAATCTTCTTTGAGATTTCAACTGCAAGTTAAATTTGTGTTGATTCAATTGTACTTGAGCTTTGTTTTAAGGGAAAAGAAGAACATACACCTACTTAGTGAGTGAAACTCCCCCAAAATTTTCTTTTAATATCTTTCTCCCAAGTTCCAACCATAATCATCTCTCTACCATATACTGTTAAGCAAATCAACTAACTTATACCTAAAATAGGATTCATGAGCATTCAGGTAAGACAAATAAACACTTTGTAAAGTAACAACTAAAGATGATGGCAAAAATTATATCAAGAAGTACCAAAAGAATGAAAGAAAATATAATGAAACTTGTCACAAAATCAGACTAGTCTAGAATCTGGACTCAAGCTAACACCTTACCTCAAACTAAAAAGACCTTTCCTGCATCACCAAGTCAGAAGTTATGAAAACATCACATCGTTTATAAAGCTCTTTTCTACATGAAAAGGGATCTTATAAAGAATAAATTAAAATCAAGAAGTAATTAACAGCCAGCTAATGCATGCAGAAGATATAAAATGAAAAGTTCGTTGCAGAAAAGACAATAGTTGAGGTATTAGATAAATAAAAAAAGAGCATAAAAGTGTATGAATCAACAATGAAGTATTAATATAGAAACTTGTCTATGTTATAGAGATAGAAAGAGGCACACATATAGCACATATATACGAATAGCTACATTTCTTCAAAAGAAGATATTCATCTTTACAAAATAACTAGGAAAATAGATGAATTTAAATTTGATATATGACACCAAGTCTAATTCACAATTAAACAGTATTTATGTTCCAACCATAATATCAAGAAGCTCAGTACATTTATTCTACAATCACTACCCCTCATGACACCATGTAAGACCAGTAAAGTAACTTGGACAAATGGTGATCAAAGTGGTACCAGTCATATTACCTTTTAGCTTCTCCTTTCAATTGCTTTGAGAACTCATTGAAGATACTAAATCGTCGATAACTTGAATGCCTATTTCCTTTAATCACTTGAACATTAATATTCATTGCCTAATCAAAATAGAACATTCAAGTCATATAACATGGACTAAAATAACTGAAATGACATGGATTATAGACAATTGGATATAGAAATAAACACAAACACAAAACAAAATGAACTTGTAAAGACAAAAAATTAAGAGAAATTACTAGACAGAAAAGAAAATTTATTAGCTTTACCTATGGTAACAGATATGCCTGCTCGGGCGAATTCACCGACAAGTGGGCATGAATGACATAGTTGGGCTTTAGATTCTTAATTCAGGACAGATATATGAAATTGTACAAAAAATAGGAAAGATCTAATTTCCATTTGTCAAACTTAGACTTGTCTTTCTTCCTTTGTGCAACTATATATTCCAAATTTCCAATTATGGATTATGTCAACTTTTAGAAAGGTACCGTGGTATGTAACGTCATAAAACCATAATTATTCACAAAAGTCATAAGTTTATGCTGCACTGCATCTCATGCCTGAAATTCACTGTGTCAGTATGTAGCACGACACGGCACAAGGTTGTACAATGGTACAAATAGGGAAGAAGATATCGAATCTGAACATGGCACACAGAGCAATGCAGATCAGTATTTCATTTTCTTCACCATCAAATGGAAAGGAAAAATTCCGGAAAATCTTAATTATAAACAGCCCGTTTATAGCATGTGCAGATGGAATGGAAGGGAAACATCATGCCCCATATCTTGTGTCCTTTGGACACCTGTTGTTCCGTTTACTTGAAAAGACTGGATGTTAACATTAGTTCTTTGGAAAAAATGGCGTTGCCAGTCATTTAAACCAGAGATCAATTAGGAGAATCAAATTTCACAATGGTGGGGACATCGACAGATTTCAAGCCATTAGATAGGGCATAAGCACAAACACATGACAGATGAACTTGAAAAGGGCAAAGATAAATTATTAGCTTTTACCTACAGGGTTATTAATTCAGAGCAGATATATGGTAATGCATGATACTCAGGCAAGGCCTACTTTGCATTTGACGAGCTTAGAAGTGTCTTGCTTTCTCGATTGATCATAACTAACGCGGAACGTGCCGTTTCTCGGTCAAACAATAACACAAACGGAAACTGGCGAATCAAAGAAAGACTTCATTGGTCTCTACCGCAGAGGACCATCCCAAGAACTCTCGCGACTGGCAATTAATTGGATTATTGATGACCGATATACCGGTCACCGTAAAGCAAGCGGGAAACACAACGACTCGAGTAAAGATTGGAGGTAAGAACTTACGTATCTCGATGCGTACAGCAGCGAGGGCCGCCTCAAGGCCCTCGATAGCGCGGAGGTCGCCATTTCCGGGCACGAGTAGGGAGATAAGGAGCGACCTAAGTCCCTCGGGTTCTACGAGCACGAAACCGAGTACAGAGAAGGGGGGACTTGCGCTCCAAGAAATCAAGAAATCGACTCGGAGAGACACCTGATAAATTTAGGGTTTAAGGAAACTGCGGAGCAAGCTCTCACCGGCCGAATCGGACAGAAGGGTGATGAAGAAGGCCTGAACCCTATAGATAAGTGGGTTATCGGAGTCGGATGCATGTTGGTTTCATCTTATACCCGAATCCAATAGGATACGCCAAAGAGCCCAAATGTACATCCGAACCCAATCTTACATTGTCGGGTACGATAGAAAGATAAATAAATATGTTTTGCCAATAATAATAATATTATTATTATTATTATCGACAAAAAACACCAAAAATTTATTTATAGTGTATTTTACCAATACAATAAGTATATAATTAAATTAATTGGACCCATATTTTAAGTGATGCAAAACTAGGATTTCATTTTACGCAACATAATAAACCTTTAAACTCCATTAATTACGTTTAGAAAATAGAAGAATGCTTTTGCTACCCAGTTAGCAACATATAGGCCACCTACCCTCTTTGTTATTGGAGTCATACAATTGAGGCTGTCCCTATCTCCAATCAGTACTCAGGTAAGACATAAAAAGGTAATAGGATGGTAAGAACACTGAGTAGAAAAAATAGTTTTAATATGTGAACATGTGGCGCGTTCAGTATTTGCATGGCCTATCTTAAATATGTATATAAATGACAAAATTATTTTTGTTATTTATATATGTGCATATATCATTAAATACATATATATCCTTCTAAAACCATTATTTTTCGATGTTCACAGGATAATTTATCATTAAAAAATATAATAATAAATTTTTACTATATTATGCTCAAATATTTGGGTTTTACCCTAACACACCTTTTCTATTTAATATTTTAATAATGCTCTTGTTTTGATGGTGTCTCAATTCAAAGTTCATTCAGGTAAACTCGAATTCTTTATCGTATCTTATCTTTCCCTATGTGTTTCTTTTCCTTCACCTATTTCATCATTTATCCTCCTACATCGCCCCAAATACATTATCGTCCTCACCCTCTCCATTAGTTTTATCATACTATCTCATTTCGTTTTTCATTCTACATCTATCCATTTATTCTCATTCAGTCTTTTCCTCCTCCTCCCCCTTGCTCCTCCCATCTTTCTCTACCTTTTTTTTGGTACCTTATACTCATTTTCAATTGTATTCCCCTCATCGGCTTCCCCCTCTCTCTTAACCTACAAAGATCCTTTCATTATAATCAAATTATACTCATTCTTACGACATATTAAAAATATATTAAATTTTATATAACTTTTATTTTAAATTTATAATAAATTTTAAACTATTATTATTTTATTAGAATTATATTCTAAGTAGAATTATCATAGTTTTAATAATTAATTATCTTATAATAATCTAAAAAATATATTATTTAAAAAAAAAAGGTGATCGAACTTAACTTAATTCAATTTCGAGTATTAATTACTAGGTCAACGTAAGAAATAAAGAATTATAATTATAATTTTTTATTAGTTCTATGATATATTTAGGATAAATATATATTTAATATATTATGTATATAAGTATAACTAGAGTGTACCAGAGTGCAACTCAAATATAATGATTTTTAGATAATTATGATAATTTTATATAGAAATTTATATACTTCTTAGAATATTTTGTGAATGAGTATAATTCGTATATAATTTAAGTTAACTTGAGTATAATATTTTTTTATATACAATTTAGATTTTCATATAAAAAATAATATATTTTTTTATAATAGTTTAATTTTTTTTAGTTTTATGATAAATTTTTTAAAAAATATTTTTATATTTAAATTATATATATATATATATATATATATATAATATGATGTAGTATTCACCTTCACTTCCTTCTTTATACCCACAGGGCCGTTACAAAAGAAGGTGACGGACACGCGTTAAGCGGCAGCCATGAAGCAACTCCGGTCGATTCTTATCGCCTCCGCCCTCCTCGCCGCGTCGCTTCTCTTCTCTTCCTCCTCATCCCTCTCGACCTCGACGGCGGAGGAGGGCGCCGCCGTCTACATCGTCTTCGTAGACGAGCCCGTGGGCGAGAAGCCCGAAGCCTTCCACATCCGAACCCTCGCCGCTGTCCTCGGGAGGTCGGTGCTCCGGTTCCCTTCCGATCGGCCGATGTTTCTTTGTTCTTCTGTCTTTTCCTCTTTTCCTGGGTTGTGATTCCGGTTTCGTGGTGAAGATTTGATTTTGTTTCGCGATGCAGTGAGGAGTCAGCAAGGCGTGCCATCCTCTTCCATTACACGCATGCGGCGAGCGGGTTCGCGGCGAAGCTGACGCCGAAACAGGTCGAGGAATTGAAGAGTGGGTTCTGTTTCCACTGTTGTATATTTTAGATGATGCGGATCTAATATGATGTTCTTGCAGCTAAATCCATGGATTTACAAAGATGATCGAGTGATCAAATGCATCTGGTTAAGCGTTTCAGTTTGTCCATATCGTGCCTACAACGAATCTTTGTTTTGTAGATCTTGTTCTTATTTAAGATTGTTTATACCATCTCTGTGCTTGATAAATCTTGTTATGATGAATTGGTTGTTCTGATTCTTTCTTGTGTTCTCACCAAAAATCACTGTGTTCCTTATCTGTATGTGTTCATTTCATAATCTCCTTGCATTACATTGTTTAATTGACTTAGTCTTGAGAAATTTATGTGAATGCTCTGTATGTTTCTCTTTTTTGGTGATCTTTGTCAAACTTTACCTAGAATAAAATGAAAAAAATCAGCATTATCGGGGTTGATTAAACCTGTCAATTATCTTTTACATGTATGGAAGTTTGATATTTCATAGGGTAATGCCATAATTTCTACTTCTCTGTGGCACTTGGCTCTCTTTTACCTTCTTGTCTGCTGTTGATGGTTGTAAATGGATACTAAAGCTTGCATGTAGCTGTAAAAATGTTAGAAAGTGTGAAAATTATTATCATTTGTTTGGTTTATTAATCAAACATCAGTTCAAGGACTCTCTACCTTCTTTATTCCTTTTTCTTTCATTTTCTTGTGGAAGTTTAGTGGGAAAAGTGTATATTGGAAATAGAAATCAGCACAATTTGTTCTGATCTGTTTGTAAGAAACAAAATTTCTCTTGAAGTGATGGACTCCATTTATTTCCAATGTGAGATAATTTACTAGTTAGAAGTCCATATTTCATTTTTGGGTCCCTATTGATATTGCCGATGTCACCTGGTTAGTATGATGTGTCAAGCAAATGATATACGAGATATCCGTATTTATTTAATATGGTGAATATGGTTATATGCTACTTGTAGGACTATAACCTTGTCATGCTAGTTTAGTTGGTGAAGCTTAAGAAAAATAATCAAAATTTTGGTTCATTGTGGATGTCTACTGGTGCAAACTATAGGCAAGTAAAATGACATGTTGGCTTTTAAAGAATCTGAGGTTCTCAGAGTTGTAAATTGGTGTGGTAACATTGTAGTAGTGTCTCCATTATCATTCAACCCAAATTTATCTCTGGTGATTTTTGGAGTAATTGATTCTTTATGGGACAAATATTCCCATGTGAAAGTTTCATTGCCCTTTTAGCTCATAAATTGTTTTTACTTGAGCAGTATGTGTTTTTTATGACAGCTTTGTGTTCATTTGATGGTTCTATACCTACTACTTCATCAGGAAGTTGCTCATTCAAGTTTATATGATTTAAATTTGGTTTTATTTTTTATTTCCTGAATATATATAATGTATCATAGTCAAATTTTGCATGTGTTGAGAAAGGCATCCTATAGCCCTTGCACTGTTTGATGGATCAATGTGTGGAGTTTGATCTGAATTTCTTATCTTTTTCTTCTCAAAGTTTTGGAAAATATGTTTTATAGTCGATTAAATTACTTTTTGAGTTTCTTTCTGATTAATCATCTGAATTGGATCATGCAGAGCAACCTGGTGTCATTCAAGTTATGCCAAGTAGGACCTACAGCATCCATGAACCCACTAGTGGTGCTCAGGTGAGTGTTATTTGAGATACTTGGGAATCTGCCTTCTACTCTTTTTCTTCATCTCCTTTTGTTGTCGATGTTGTTTGGATCTCCGAATAAGTGTGAAAAATCCATATGGTGGTGTTACTTTTAAGTTAGCAATGGATGTTGAAATATTTGATCATTTTTTTTTTTTGTTGAACAGTAGATTTTGAAATGTGGTAAGTATATTTACTGAAGATATTACATGGCCGTTTCTTTAGGATTGTGGCTTCCTATTATCTATAGTCACAAGCTTTAGTTAGCAGCTTTGTTGTGGGACAATCATGATTACTCTTTTCTATTTCTAATGTTCTCTGAGAATATAAACATGAACATCAATGTATGGAGTAAAATTTGAACTTGGTTTTTGAAAGAATCTTCTTTATCTGAACATGAAGAATCAATTCATAATTTTAGATTCATACAAACAGTATATAAACAATGGTAATATCCCATCATTATTCCATCTTGTCTACCATCAAAGAGAAAAGTTCTCCCAAGAAATATCGATGAGGTACCTCCATGATTGTTAGAATAAATAGATAATTGGGAGAAATATTCAAGTCATTAAAAAGATTATACTTACCACTGATGAGAACATATGATTAGCATGCATGGATGTAGGGTGAACCAGAAGAAGGAAAAAATTTGGTAGGCATGACATGTGTTAGTGCCTTAATCATCAACTGGCTCAACACTAATTGAGGGTACACGACCACATAAAAGCAGCAACAACAAAGGAATGCTTTCAACAGAACAGTATGCAATGCCATGCAAATTACAGTGAAATTGGGCTATCCACCTGCAATACAAAAGTGTTGTAAGAATTTTGAAATCGCGGTGAAGATGGTGCTGCTTATCTGTGGAGCTGTACATTCAAGACAGATTCTTATACCACATTCAAGATAAACCTGGAAAAACTTTAGAACATCAGATTTCAGAGCCATTCAAATTCATCCAATTCTGCAAATGGTTAGTTTGGACTCAGTTAATTGAACCCAGAAGAATTCCTGCTGGTTAAGTTTGATAAACGAATTTTGGATCTAGTTTATCACTTGAAATCTCAAATTTCTAAGCTACTTCTCTTATCAATTCCAGTTCTCAGAGTCTGTGATGCCACTAGAAAATGATCAAAATCTCTATGAATCGTGTAACACAGCTTAATATTACAGGTTTCCCTAGCTTATGGAAAGAAAACCAATGTATGAATTGCTCAAAACATAGAACAATACACACATGCTATTCCTGTTTGCCACGAGAAACCCGAGCATCATGCCTCAGTTGTGCTTTTTTCCATTTCACCATGAGATGGCAAAGTGTGAAGAGAGTATTTACCTGAAATTGGAAGAGACGTCTGAGATGAAGAACAAGAAATGAAAACTGCAATTGTAATACGTGAAGACATGTCTACTGACCACAATTATGATCGTTATGATGAGAAGTGGGCTGGACCATAGCACTGAGATAAAGAGACCATGAGGATCAAAATAGTTCTGGCTTGAAAAGCTCTTCCAGTTCCTTCCCAGGAAACTATTTACCTTCTCAGCAAGATACACACCAGAAACTGGAAGAAGAAATTAATTTGAAATAAATATATATAAGTTCATCGTGAGCTATGAAAACTCAACATTCATAGTTATTACTCGAAAAAAAATCTTATAAGTGTCAAGAAATCTCAAGGCAAAGCTTGAAGCTTCACTTTATCCACCAGCACTCTCCCAGTTGACATGGTAAGATCATACAAACAAAGCTACACTCACTAATTTATCCTCATTCAATCATCTAAACAGCCTTTCAACTATAGAGGATTTTTTCATTCATCTAATAGTAACAATTAGGTTTAAACTTGTCCCACAAACATGACAGATGCTCACTACAAGCAGCATATAAAAATAATAAAACAAGATGCGAACTAATTGAAGTCTCAAGTGGAGCATATGGATTGCTAAAAAAATTTGCTACTTAGCAGACTCACAAAACAAACTAGTAGTACTACTTCTAGAAAAGGTGATAAGAAGAGACTAACTTACATGCTAGAAGAGACAAGCATAATTGGAAGTTCACATTTTTCCTCGATAATATAGTTACGATCAGCAAAATAAAGTAGAAAGCTAATAAGCATATCAACCAAGGTTCCTGCAAGTCAAGCAAAAAAAGAAGAGAACCACAAATGAAACTAAAAGATAAACAACAATCTTTTGCTTAAGGCCAAAATAAAGAAAAAGACCATTTAAATTAGGAGAGGTGAACAACAAATAGAATTATTTACTTTCAAAATTCCAAGTAAAATGGTAAAATCTTCATGTCATCGCAACTGAGACATGAGAAGGATCAGGAATCATTTTTATTTAGCAAATTTGCGAGACAGTAATATGATCTTAAAATTACATGAACTTACATCACATTAGTAACATGAACTGTTATATATGAAATTCAAATCAGAAGAGACAGAATCAAACAGATACAATGTTCCACTTGAGACCAAAATCGGGGCAATTAAGTGGTTAGCATATCAACTTATACACAGCGATAAAACATTATAGAAAAGAAACCAACAAATGGTGACACTGCATAGCATTGTTATATTTTGCAAAACAACATTTTCTATTCAAGGATAGGAAATTTTTTTTCATTCTTTTAATTGACTGCCAAAACATTTGCTAGTAAAATCAACATTGTTTATTATGCCTTCCTCTATCTCACTTCTTTACTCACCTTCTTCCACGCATGCCAGTGCAAGACTAGAAGAGAAAGAGGAAGGTAGGAAGAAGCAGATGCTTTAAACATGGTCATTTCATGCTATAAATTGTATATATGCAAATGTTGACAATGAAGTTATATTCAGTCCTCAAAATTTGTCAAGCAAACCTACTCATGATGTAGTGTCAAATAAGTTACAATCCTTTTCAATAAAAGAAATATGCTTCTGACAGTAATATACACCATAGCAATCAACCCAAAACACTGAAATTTCTTTATGAAGTTATTTCATCATGCATAGAAGATATACTTAATTTGTGAATTCTCACAATCAGTGCAATTGTGAAAGACTGACGATTCTCACATTCGAATCATTGTCCAGTTTTATGATTTTCTCCTTTCTATAACTGTGATTTCAGGACACTAAATAACCTCCTAATACTTTGTCCTTGCCATGTCCATCTCAATATCCACCCTACCCTTCATTAACAATGATATCGAATCTCAAAATTGTAGTTGGGACTTTTCGGTCTTGTTGTCGTTGTTGTATCCTCTTAAACTGTCAAAGGATCTTTGAGAATTGTCAACATTAGTAAGATCTACATTTGCTTTTTCATACTCATCTTTTTAACTTTGCCCGAGTTCAGATGGTTCATTCATCCCCTAGTTTTATCTCTACCATAACCCTAATACACTGAATTCATTCAACAGGTCCAATCAAAATCTACCATGCTGCAGAAGTTCCAACCATGAATTCCAACCAGAAACCAAATCCTTACATAGTTACCTCGAATTCGATAAAAGAAAAGCAAAATAACAGGGTGCATGAAGTCAAATCAGTAACATAAATGCAAGAGTATTTGGCTAAAGGGCGCACCTTCCAATCAATTGCGTGGAAGAAACTCACAAAGTCGTCCACGGCCGGGCCGAATCCGCTGCGGAGTTCGGCGGAGAACTTCTCGACGAGTTCGGAAGCGAGATCAACATGCTCGTTCAGTGCTGCTTTCAAATCTTCCATTGCAGAGGCTGCTCCCAAATGAACAAGATAGCAGATCTGCGAAACAGACTTGTTCCGCCCTAAAGCCATCGATGTGCTCAATACCAAATTCGAGAAGCCATGACTCGCGATCACACGGAAATCAATCCTATAAAGAGAGAGAGAGAGAGAGAGAGCACCTGGCCTCAAGGCTGAGGCGGTGGGATCCCGACGGATGGTAGTGTGGCTTGGTGAATCGGAGAACCAACGGATGCATGGAGCTTTCCCGGACACGAGGACTACTCCAGAGGATCGCTCCAAACCGAGGGGTCGACATTGACATAGCGGCCCACATCTTCAGATGGCGTCTTGCGCCTTCTGGCATAGAGCCGTTCACGTGCGTGTCACGTGCCATTGGGCCGGAGCGATGCGGTTCGAACTAAACATGATGTGATCGAATCACACATTTGGTGCCTTGGCGTAGAAAACGATTGCCAGAGCCGGCCACGTCCGGTTCGCATCCGTGCCGACACAGGAAACGCGTAATCCCAACGTGGCTTTGATGTCAATATGGAGGATCGTGACGTCAGTGGAGGTTGTCCTGGGATTCTGCGGGGAAGATACCGTGTTTCCTCTCGCGTTCAAAACAGCACAACCATACCCGTAAGGAACGATAAGAGAGAGAGAGAGAGCACCTCGGCTCCTCTCGCCCTCGCCGTTGCTCCTCCCACCGCAATACCAAACAAAGCCATGACCAGTCGTTGGCCGCGCTCCCTCACCTCAGCCCTCGCCCCCCGCGGCGACGCCCTCCTCCTCCTCCTCGCCCCCCTCTTCGTCCTCTCCCTCGTTACCCACGAGCTCTCCCGCCACTCTGCCCTTGCTGCCCACTTCGAGGGCTTCGATTCCGACGACCTCGACGAGGCCGAAGACCTCTCCTCCTCCGACGAAGTCCCCCTTGCTGCCTCCCCTCCTCCTCCTCCCGCCACCTCCCTCTCGCGATCGGCCTCCCCAGAGTCCCACCATGGGCCCCCCTCCGCTCCTAAACCCCCGCCATCGTCCGATCTCTGGGACGAGGACGAGTTCGAGGGCATACCCGTCGCCGTCCAATCGGCCGATCCGGCGGCTGCCCCGGCAGATCAGACCCGTGCCCCCTCCTTGCCCTTGCCTTCGCCGGCGCCACCCTCGGTCAGATCGTACACCACTGAGATCGTGTGCATCAGCTTCTTGATCTGCTTCCTGATCAACTACTTCACCGGGAAACGCCAGAACGAGGAGATCGCCCTTGCCTGGGCCGCCAAGTTCGCCACCAAAGACTCCATCTTCGACAAGAACTTCAGCCTCTTGGGCACCGGCGACGGCAAGGACACTCCGCTCCTTCTGAAGGAGGGCCAGGATGTGTTCAAATTCTATGCCAGCGGCCGAAGGTACTGCCAGAGTATGCTGGCCACGATGGAGATGCGAAGCCGGCATGACCTCATCTCGAGGGCGCTCGATCTGGTGTTTCGCAAGAGAGATGTGATAACGTTTGAGGTGGTGATGAATGAGGACGCTATGGATCACGTTGTGCTGGCGCTCGCGAAAAGGAAGATGGCCAAGGCAATGCACAAGGAGGAGAGGGACCTGGAGAGATTTGCAACCCTGGGGGTGATGCCGCTGTCTGGGAGGAAGTGGGTAGCTGATGAGGTTTTGGTGGTCGCAGAGTCAAAAGAAGTCGCAGGGGATCTGATCACGGAGGTCGCGCTTGATCAGGTGAACTTACTTAGTGATTTATGCTTTCTGCATAATATGTTTGTGTTACCTCCCTTGCACGGAAGATGACTTTATCACACAGTACAAAATCACATTTCTAGTTTCTTGGAATGACAAAATAACCAATTAATTGTTGTTTGCAAGCATATGTTCTTGATGGGTTGTTTTCCAACATTAGTTCCAATAACATCATGGAATAGAAAAGTTGCACAAAGTATTGTTAGGATGTTAGATGGTCGATTAATGCCTTGTGTTTCACATCCTTTCTTACGACTCTGTTAACTTTATTCTTGTATAATTGCTTTTATTAATCCTATTGTGCGATATAGAACAAGAGGATTCTTGTATAATTGCAGTTATTAATCCTATTGTGTGATATAGAACAAGAGGATGCTCATTGAAAACCTATGAAGAGAAATATACTCTGAAAAGAAGGTTCAGCAAAGATTTCTTCATTTTCTCACATTTACTATCTTTGTAGATCTCAAGTATTTGTATTTTTATATGTAATTTGACCTTATAAATATTCACTCAACTTCTTTTACCGGCTTAATGCTGATTAATTTAGCGTGTGTATATGTATGTGTACACACACACACACACACATATATATCCTCTCAACTTCTTTTGTGGATCTAATGGTTTTTGTGTTTTGGTCCCACACAACTTTATTTGCATGGTCTAATGCTTAGTCTAACATACAATCTGAATGTGGCTAGTTCGACTAGACAACCTATGTAGTCAGGCATCACAATGCATCTGGACGGTAAGTTGCACTTGGCTCACATAAATAGTAACATGATAAAAGGCTTCATGGTCAAGCAAAACCTGAGGTTACAGGGGAAGGCCCTTCGTGAAGATACGATAAACCTTGTCCATCATCATTATTGAGATTTAGGACAGCCAACAATAGGTAGACTCATTGGGGCAAGGCTGCTATGGGAATGTCCTCTTGCAGATTCATTCTCATTATCTGTCTTGTTTGGAAATATTACCTAGGTGGTGCATGAAATAGCTTTTACATCACTAGATTTTGTTAAGCTATAACTTATGACAACAACTTGTGAATTTCTCAAGAGGAGAAGAAGAAGAGTACACGAACAACAAGTGAGGAGAGAGAGGTGTTAGGGTGTCTTTTTCTTTTCGCAAAGGGCAAGTAGTGAAGGTGTGATTCGAGCTTGGGACCTTGTGATAACTAAGTTAGCCAGTACATTCAAAAAAATATGTTGGATGAGATTTTAAATCCTCAAACTTTAATATTAGAGTTGTTATGATTAAAAAAATAAAAAATCTAGGTGGTAATCCCGTTCACAAGACTTACGATCGCTAAGCCTTGTATCACACCTGGGTTGGTCGAAAAAGTGTGTCCACGAGCCGGTTCATTGCCACACCAATAAATACCATTTGGTGCTTACTGGCTAATGCCAAATTCACACCCATGGTATGTGTATTTATCACTGTAGTATTCTGGTGAAGGTATCACTTGCTTGTGACGGAAGAAAGAATTGTTAATATGGTTATGTTAATAGAAGGTTTCATGCTATGGTCCGATTAAAATGACACATTGGATCTTGTTAGAATGATATTCCGTCTCAAGATCTCAGTATCTAAGTGAGTTCAGCCCCAAGACAACCGTAATACGTAATTGGCTTTTTTTTTTATAGTCACTGGGGTTTGATTCAGTTGGTAAGCTGCAGCTTTAATCGGTACCTCTTTGTCGCATTTCATTACGTTTTCCAACACCTTTGTCAATTCTTCTTTTGAGACCCACATGCCCGACAGCCATACTCAATGTAAATAAGGCAATGCTGCATAGTTGGTATCCGTTTTTGATTTATACACTGCCAACCATTCAAATCACTCACCCTTGCACTCATGTCCAAACCATTTAATTTTCTTGCAACTCGGTTTAGAAGTATAATTTTTTACTTCTATGCGAACAACTATACCAGATTTTGATGTTTGTTTGATTGCCACTTGCTACTAGATTTTTTTCATTATTTTTTCACTTAAATTTTATCATATTATGCATAGCTTCGGACAGCAGATTCTAAATTATAAATAAAGATTTCTATAATGTTTATAAATCATAATGAAGCATTATATAATTTCTATTAATAAAATGTAAATAAAGATTATAAATAAAGACCTTGATAAAAATTATAGATAAAAATTTATATTATGCATTGCTTCGGACAGCAAATTCATTTAATAGACTTTAATAAAAATTATAAATAAAGATTTATATATTTTTTAGTTAAATAAAAATTTAAGCAAAATATGACTCTTTATAGATCTCAATAGTAGCAAAATATCCCCATAGCCGACCCCAAATAATTGAGACTTTACAATTTTGTTATTGTTTTTGAATTTTGTCATATTGATTGAATAACATCGATTTTTTGGCATGACAATTTACAATAAGGTATATTATTGATTGAAGAAGTGCTGCTGGCAGCCATATTGGTCTTGAATTTTTCACTTGTCCAGATTGATTCGTTATTAGTTTCAATATGGCTGATTTTAGTAAATCTAAGATATTAATTCCTTTTTTATGATTTAAAACCACAGTCATCTCAAGTTTCAAGGAATATCCATTTTTAAGTCCTTGTGATTTTTGTTTCCATTGGATCATATATAAGCATTGATATATTTTCTATGAATCCATGCCCCCTTGTGGTTCTTCTATCATTTTTTGTTGTCTGCAGCAGCTCATCTTATCCAAAGTGCTGTGGATTGTTGACAGTGCTCTGGTTCTTATGAGGCTCATCGATTAGCAATTAAACTGGTGGAAACAAGCCTATTTTGGAGGACTTCCTCTTGCATTAAATGAATAATAGGAGAGATTATTCAAAATATTCTAGAGAGAATCTGTTTCCAATCCTTCTTTTGATAGCATCAAGCTTTTGTACATGGCTCAGCAGCAGCTTTTCTTAATTATTAGAGAATCTGTAGTGATTCAACTTGATGTGGAGTAACACAAGTTACAGATGGACAAAACTGTTATGTTGACATTGGATGCTGTCGCTAGAATGTCTGCTAAATGTTTATGCTATATTTCTTTATTTAACAAAGTATAGGCTAGGACTTTTTCATTGACATTGCCCGATCAAGTAGATGTTATTGAGTCATTAACATTATACATATTTTATGTTCAGGTTTTTGGTGACAAGGCATTTGAGAAGTTTGGGAAGTGGTTCATCTCACTACATTTCTCTGATCAACATCCAGGATCTCACAAGAAGAGACTTATATTTAAGTTTGCTCTTCCAGATGCCAACAACATGGCTGACATGTCGAGATTGGTTGCTCTTGTACCATATTATATCGATTTAATTGGGCGGTACAAACTAAGTTCTCATGTGAGTGAAGTGTGACCATTCTGAACATTTAAGTCATCTGTTTCTTGACGTTAAGACCACTAACTTTTTAACTGTGATAATGTTCGTAATTCGTTTGTATCACAGGCCCAATCCAAAACAGAAGCAGCCAGAGCAAAGGCTACCAAGGAGGAATACAAAGAACAACAGAATCTGAGACAAGAGGTGATGCAAAAGAAAAAGGCAGAAAAGAAGAAGTCGTTGG